GTGAGGATAGGCTGGTTGAGCAAAGGAGAGGGCAGAGGGTTAGTGGGGGACCTTCAGGGCCTTCAGTGTGGAGGATGGGGTCGGGGCAGGTGCTCAGGGGCAGAGTTTGGCCGAGGGGAGTTCTCAGGGTGGGATAGAGGTGAGAGTCAAGGAGGGGTAGCAAGAGAAGCACTGGGGAGGAGGTGGGAGGTGGGGTGGTGGGGAGGCGGGAACCAAGGATCAAAGAAGAGTGAGAGGGATGGGCAGAGGGACACTGGGGGAGGGGCTGGAAGGGGCCCTCTGCTGGGACAAGTTGGGGGCCTAGCAGGAGACCTGGGACCACCTGCGTAGGGCTATAGCTGGGGAACTATTACAGTGGTGGCCAAGAATGGGGCCTTTCCTGTTGGGCGCTTGACTCCCTAGTGCATGGGCTGCCCAGTGATGCCAGCCAAGACGTCTGACATGGGGGCAGGTGGCTGACCCACTTGTGACAGCATTGTGGACAATGTGGGCCCAGAGAGGCCATGAAGGGGAGGGTCCTCACTCTTGTGGGCTCCTCCCAACAACCTGCGGTCCTGCCTCTACCCAGGAGCAGAACATCCCTCAGAACCTGGTGGGGTGGGCTTGCAGAACCATCTGGTCCTCTCACGCATCAAACAAGGATGACTGAGAGACTGCCACAGCCAGGAGGAGTCCAAGGAGACATGGTGACCATGCCATGTGTTGTCCTGGATGGGGTCCTGGGACAAGAAGGAGACATTAAGGAAAAACTAAGAGAATCTGAATTCATTGTAGTGTCTTTATTTTGTTTCTAAGGTTTTTGCCATAGGTTGGGTGTACTTCCTGGAGAGAGAAGGAGAGAGGGAAAGTGAGACATCACCTCCCAGGGAGGTGGCCACACTGCAATCCCTCCTCATCCATTCACCTCTCTGAATTTTGGGCACACACACACAGTGACTTTCAAGCCACCAGATCTGGGACTTGGACCATGATGTAGGAGTGCAGTGCCTTAACCACCATGCCACCAACTGACCAACTGCAGTTTTTAGTGTAGTTACTAATAATGTATTACTCTTGGTTCAGGATTATAACAACTGCATCACACACTGTGACTTGTTAACAATGAGAGAGACTGGGTGTGCAGTTATGAGAACTATATATATATATATATATATGTATATATGTGTGTGTGTGTGTGTGTGTATGTATATCCACATATTTAATTTTTGCCATAGGATACATGTGCTTGCTGGAGAGAGAGACAGAGAGAGAGGAGGTGAGAAATCCTCCCGCAGCGGGGATGGCCATGCCCTAATCCCTTCTCCAATCTCTTGGAATTTTAGGCACGTATGCATAGTACATGGCCCAGTTTATCTTTTTAAATGAAAACAAAAACAAAAAGCACAGAACAATGTGGATGGGGCCAGCAGGTGGTGTGGTGGTTAAGACACTGGATTCCTACATGGCCAGCTCTATGGTTTAAGTCCCAGACCCATGTCTTGAAAAACACTCTGGGTGTGTGTGTGTGCAAAATCCAGAGAGGAGAATGGTGTAGAAGGGATTGTAGTGTGGCCACCCTCCCTGGGGGCGGGGGGATTTCTCACTTTCCCTCTCCCATCTCTCGCTAGCAGGTGCACATGCCCTATGGCAAAAACCTAAAAAACAAAACAAAACAAAAACATCACAATGAATTCAGATTTTCTTAGTTTTTCCCCAATGTCTCCTTTCCTGGCAGTGGTGGAGAACTGCCAACTCCCCACCAACCCCTCAGCCCCAGTTCTTCTTCCCCAGTTCCTGCTGTGGCCCTCGAATAGCAGCAAGCTTGCAGGGTCACATGTCAGCCCAGTGCAGCAGGACCTGGTCTCTGGTGAGGGACAGGCACCACCTACCCAGCATTTGGGATAGCCATGAAATTGGGGGTCCCTGAGGGAGGAACTCAGGTCCTGTGGCTTTTCCTCCAGATGCCAAGCTTTGACTTCTGGCTGTTGATAGATTATTCTGATAGAGGAGATGCAGAGCCAACCTCTTCCAGCCGTGGGCATGGGGTGGGGGTGCAGAGCACGGTGTTCCCCAGGCCCTGAGCAGGCCCACAACGTCAAGCCTTTGTGCTTCACTGAGCTGCAGGTTCTCGGAAGAGAGAAGCCTGGTTTCATCACCCTCACATTTCCGAAGCATGATCTCCCAAACGGGCATTTCCTGCAACACCATCTCAGGTGTAAGGCTTGCGAGTGAGCCACCAGGGGAAAGTGCTTTGCCAAAGTCTCCCTGGGGAAAACGGTGAGTCCGGTAGACCATGGGCATGTCCTGCAGTGCTTTTGGAGACTTCATGCAGCGATGCTAATTGAGGCCGTCCAAGCAGGGGATGGCTTGAGGTGTGCGCCTGACAAATCCGACCATGCCGCTTCATTCCCTAGGCCCCATGACGGTGCCTTGTTGAAGGGTGGGGGAAGCTGCTGGGGACGGTGCATCAGCACACTGGGTGGCGCAGGCGGCGGTAACGAGCCAGCCCGGGTCTCAGGGCTTTGACCACAGAGGGGGTGTCCTCTCTTCTCTTCCTGTCATAGCCGTTGTGTGCTTCTGGGGCACAGACTGACGTGACAGTGTCCCTCCAACCTGGAATGTGTCCGTCATGGCAGAGGAATGAATGACAGAGAGGGACTCTGAAAGGAAGTAATGCGGGCCAGCGAGGGGCACGGAGGGTAAGGCCGCTGCACCCCGCGGCCGGCTGTGTGGTTGGAGTGCCAGGCCCGGTGGCTTGCAAATCACAGTGGCCATGTGTGTGGGCAAGCCCAAATCCTGAGAAAGAGTGGGGGAGGGAGGATTGTGGTGTGGCCATCCTTCTATGGGGGATTTCTCACTTTCTGACTCTCCCTATCTGGCTCTCTCTCTCTCTCTGTTTCTCTCTTTCAGGCAAATGACACAAACTATAGCAAACTACCAAAAAATAAAGTAAATAAAAGAAAATAATGTTTATTGAGGAGTGGGCATCGCGATGTGGAATGTACTTGCCATAGTAAACTATATCCAATTCAGGGGAGGAAGACAAAGGTTTTTGTTTTGTTTTGAGAGGTTTTTGCTATAGGGTGCATGCACTCGCCAGAAAGACAGAGAGAGACAGAGAATCAAAAAGTGAGAAATCACCCCCCAGGGGGGATGGCCACGCCACAATACCTTCTCCTCCATTCTCCTCTCGGGATCTTGGGCACGCACACACACGTGCCCAGCATGAATCTAAGTCACTGGGTCCGGGACTCGAACCGTAGTCAACTACATGGGAGTCCAGCGACACAGCCATTACACCAACTGCAGGTCCTAGGAAGACAAAGGTTTTTAAAGAAAATCAGGACAGGTTACGTAAGTTGTTTTGGGAAGTTATCTTTGGCCCCAGGATCAATAGTAAGGATGGCGTTAGCACTAGGTTGGGAGGCAGTTTCCGGGCAGGCATCCTTGCAGCAGTATTTTTCCTGTGTGAGATTACAGTGGTCTCTGTGCAATGTTCTGGGTTCACTTTTTTTTTTTTTTCTTTTAAAAATTATTTTTATTTAACTTTATTTATTTAAAGAGACCAGAGCAGGAGGGAGGGAGGGAGGGGAGAGAAAGAGAAAGAGAGAGAGAGAGAGAAAACAAGTTGCCAGGTCCAGGACTCAAACCGTGGCTGGCCATGTGAGAGTCCAACACCCCTAACCACCATGCCACCTGCTGGCCCCCGCAATGTTCTGGTTTTTCTGTTGGTGATCATTATTATCAGCCATATATGCATTAGGTCTCCTTCTTCATGCCCTCCCTGGCTCTTTGTAGTCAGGGTTTGACATGAGTGATGCCATTTTGGTTCTGATAACTTTCACAGGAACATGGTGATTCATCCATGTTTCAAGAACCAGATTAAGACATAGGACTGACCTAACCAGGGTGGTGAAGAGTGGGATATTTTGGGATGCTTGTTGGGTAAATGAATAAATGAATGAGCAAACAGTCATTCTTCTCTTGAATATAAAGTGCTGTGGGAGTCAGAAAGAATGGTAGGACCAGCAGGTGGTGTGGTGGTTAAGGTGTTGGACTCCCCCAGGGCAGACTGCAGTTCGAGTCTCGTAGACCTGATGACTTGAAAATTACTCCAGGCACAGGTGCAAACATGCCTCAGATCCAGAGAGGAAAATGAAGGACAAGGGATTGGGGTGTGGGCATTTCCTTTAAGAAGTGATTTCTCACTTTCCCTCTCTATGTTTCTCTGGTGAGTGCATGAGCCCTATGGCAAAAAGAAAAGAAGGGATGGTGGCCCCTGTGTTGGCCCAGAGCGGTCCCTAACATGATCCAAGGCCCACTGGTCCATAGCTTCTCCCTTCCCCACACCCAGATTTGCCCCTCTTTGAGTCCTTAGTGAAGTGGGTGCTCTTATGTCCAGAAGGAAAGTGGTAACCTGTGCCTGGACATCTGGAGCCACCTGGTGGCCACAGCAGGACCTTCATGGACACTGGCAGCCCCACAGAGGACTGGCCTAATGCAGAGCTAAGTGTGACTTTGCTAAAGCAAGTAAAAAACACAAGACCATGTCCCAGCCAGGTCTGACAGACAAGAACAAGGTCAGGATGCCACCCACCGAAATGATCAAACATCCCCCTCTCCTGGCTAAAACGAGTGCCTGCTCACCGTCCCTGTCTCTGGTGCTGTGACGCACGGTCATAGGACTCCCTCTGGCCAGCAGCACCCAGTGCAGGGCTGCCCTGGGAGCCAGGGCCAGCTTCTCTGGGACACACTGTATTCATGATCTGCATATTTGTGTTAAAGTCTCTGAAAATCCTGCAATAACATGTCTACTTAATTACTGTTAACCTACCGTGTCCTATGTAAGCGAAGGACGTGCCCTTCAGGGTACATGTATAAACGCTATGTGCAAATGAGTTCTGGGGAACGCCAGTTTTATTATTTGGGTGTAGGTTATACATTGTTCGTAGTTCGATATTCCAAAGTTGCCAAGTAGAGACAGCAAAATCGTACTGGCCTCTGGCCTCTGACTACTGAGTTTGGAGATCATTTTTTTTTTTACAAAAATTGTTTATTTTTCTTCTTCTTTCTTTTTTAATTTTTTTTTATAGACCACAGATTAGTTTATTTTTAATATCCATCAAGCCATGAATTCATAGGGAATAGGTTCCAGTAGCTCAGGCTCCTTTCCATTGGTTCTCACAAAGTGTGCTTCTCTAGGTGGAGTGGGCTGGAACTTTAGTTGAACCCAGGTACCTATCTCTTTGGCTTCTTTTTTTCTGGTCATTTTCCTTCACATATTTTAGGAAGCTATCTCTGCTCTTAGAATGTTTAATATGCTCAATACGCACATTGATTCTCTTGGCAAGAATCTTGCCCTTAACTTGTTTGTTCACAACAATGCCAACAGCATGCTGGGTAACATTGTAGACTCTTCCAGTTTTGCCATGCTAACATTTGTGGGGCATTCCTTTTTGAACAGTACCCATTCCCTTAATGTCTACAATATCACCTTTCTTGTACATTCGCATATATGTCGCCAAAGGAACAACTCCATGTTTTCTAAAAGGCCTAGAGAACATATATCGGGTGCCTCTTATCTTTCCATCATTTTGGTGAATTACTGGAAGATGGCGGTTCTGGCCAAAAGGAAAAAGGCTCTTTTTCTTCTTTTTAAGAGAGATTTTTGGCATCCCTGTTCTCTCGCTCACTCTGGACGGCCTCCTCTGCCACTGTCACCGTGCTCTGTGGAGGAACCACTGTCACGAAGCCAGCCACTGCTGAGACCCAGGACATGGTCGACCACGTGAAGCACCAGCTTGAGGAGGAGGAAGACAGGAAGTTCCCAGTTTTAGAAGCTGCGTCGTTCAAGAGCCAGGTTGTTTCAGGGACCAGCTACTTCGTCGAGGTTCACGGTGGTGGGGAAAGGTTCGTACACTTGCGAGTCTTTCGGAGTCTTCCTCATGAGAACAAGCCCGTGGCCTTCCATGGCTACCAGGCCGACAAAGCCAAGCACGACGAGCTGACCTCCTTCTAAGCCTCACCACTGCCCACACGGCAGTGCTCACCATGACTCCTTCCCGGTCGTGAGTGCGGGTGTGGGAGTGAGATGGGCTTCCCCTCTGAGCTGTGCCACTTGGCCGGGCCAGCACGAAGCAGCCGCCCTGCACTTCTGCTCCTGAGTCTTATGTGTCAATCTCTCTTTTCTAATCGATGATCTTAACTTGATGACTTTAAAGAGGGCTATGTGTGATCTTAAAATACATGCTTTAGCTCTACAAATGTCAAAAAAAAAAAAGATTTTTGCCATAGGATATGTGTACTTGCTGGAGAGACAGAGGGACAGAAAGTGAGAAAACATCCCTTAGGGGGATGCCCGCTCCACAGTCCCTTCTCCTGTGTTCTCTTTGGATTTTGGAAACAAATGCAGACGCACCCGGCGTGAGTTTGAAGCCACTGGATCTGGGACTCGAACGGCAGTTGACTATGTTGGAGCCCAGCAATGTAACCACTACGCCATCTGTTGGTCCCCAGAATTATGTTTCTGTTCTCTGTTACTTTCTTTTTCCTTTTTAACCCTTCATTATTTTTTCTTTTGCTTATTGATTTGATAGTTCTCTTTATATATGAAGGATATTGATCCTAATATAATACTCATACATATGAATCACAAATGTTTCCTTTAGTTTTTTGTCCACTTTAATGTTTTGTGATTTTTAATATACAAACTCTGCATTATTAAGAACTATTAGTTTTTTCTTTTATAATTTCTGCTCTTTCTACCATATTATAAAAAATTGCTCTGCAGCCCTAAGATAGCATAGTCAGTCACCTTTATTTTATTTTAGTATTTTATTTCATCTTTTTTTTTTTTGGAGAGGTTTTTGCTATAGGGCACGTATGTTCGCCAGAAAGACAGAGAGAGACAGAAAGTGAGAAATCACCCCCCCGGGGGGGATGGTTGCGCCGCAATCCCTTCTCCTCCATTCTCCTCTCGGGATCTTGGGTACACATGCGCACGCACCCAGCGTGAGTTTAAGCTAAACTCACAGGTTAAAGATTCGAACCGTGGTCGACTACATGGGAGTCTAGCGACATAGCCATTACGCTAACTGCTGGTCCCCTTTATTTCATCTTTTGATCATTTCATCTATTTCTTTATCTAGAATTGGTATCAGATGGTAGAGTTGAGCTACAATACATGAAATCCTCAGTTCTTTAGGTCTAGATCTCTACGATTAGATATCTTCTCTGAGACACAAAATGAAAAACCACAAACATGAGCAAAGTAGGAAAAAAGAAGTTTTAATAGGAAAGTGAAGATTTTTAATAGAAAATAAACATAC